CTCTATGATAGTTCAGGGAATCAAAACCCTTTCTCTTGAACCAATTTGCTTTCGAGTTGCCAGTTTTATCATCTTTGTTCAATGAAGCAGCGTTTGATTCTAGCTCACTGCGATGTAAAGGAGTCCATGCTATACACTGATTTTTCTCCTGTCATGATCTGACATTTTTTAGCCCATTTTTGTAGGATCGTGTATTTGGAGTCATGAAAAGTAGCTGAAGGCTTAGACTGCAACTGCGTCCTGCAACGATTGCAACATGGATACAAAATCGTGTATAATTTTTTTTTCGAATACCTATACCTCCATGGCAAATTGGAACCATTACCAGTATCATTATTTTGATGCTGCTTCCGTTATTACCATCATTATTGTTGATGTTGCTGTTTTACAACTGATTTTGCGTGTGGCATCGCCCTCATATTAATCCTTATCAGCAAAGTTTTTTTTTTATCATTATGCCGTTATCACCGTTGATTTCATTATCAACACTTATCGTTATCATTGCTATCATCATTATCATTCTTCTTGTTCTTCTTGCTGTCTCATAATCACCATTCTTCTGAGGGCCATTACTGTTATCTTCATTACAACCAGTATTAACATTATTTTGGCAAATGATATTGTAGTTGATCATCATCTTTATCTTTATTGTTTTCATGATTGTTTTTATTATCATTATCAATGTTACCATTATTATCATCATCATTATCATTACTATCCTTATTATTAATTTCATTCTTATTGTTATCATCATTTTCACCATCATCATCACCATCACCATTATCATCATCATCATCACCACCGCCATTATTATCAACATTATTGCTATTGTTGTTATCATCACAGCCACTGCCGTTGCTGCTCGCTTCACTGATGTTATCAAAATCACCAATATTAGTGGTAATAACAGCAGCAGTGGGTGGAGTGGCTCTGAGGGTGGCAGCAGTTGCAATAACAAAACAAGTAGCCGTGAAGGTACCATTAGGATACTAAGAGTAATGATAGATATGATGATGATGATGATGATTGTCGTAACTACGTTTGTTGTACTGTATATTGTGGGTATTGTATGTTGCCTCTATGATTTTATCATTGTCATTAACACAAAATTTTAGCCTTATTATGATTTATACTCCTTTCAGTCACATCTTAACTTTTTCATTATCATTATCATTATTATCATCATTATTCCTATCAATATGATTACTAGTAGGAGTAGTAATAGTAATGTAGTAACACTATCATCATCATTATTGTCATCATCATCATTATTATCTTTATCGCCATCATTATCATTATCCTCATCATCATCAAACGCAGCAGCAGCATTATCATTATCATTATTATTTTTCAAATTGTTATTGGTATTAGTTTTATTTTCATTGAAATTATTTCATTACATTATTATTGTTATTATCATCAGCGTTCTTATTATTGTCATTATTTGTATCATCATTACCATTATCACTATAGTTATCATAATTATCATTGTTATTATCACTAACATTATTATAATTATCATTATTTTTGTCACTACTACTGCTACTACTACTATGATTATCATTATCATTACGATTATGATTGTTATTTTTATCATTATTATTATTATTATCATTATGATTACTAATATTATTACTATTGTTATCATTATCATTATTATAACTATTATCATCACTGTCATTATTATTATTGTCATTATTGATAGTAATAGTAGTAGCAGTAGTTTTGTATTATCTATATTTTTATCGTTATTGTTATTGTTTCATCATTATTATCATTCATTATTATTTTGATATTATCATAATCATTTGACATCATTATTATCAAAATCTTCATCATCATCATCATACTATTATTATTATTATCATTACCATTATTACTACTATTATTATCACTATTGTCATTATTATCATCATCATTGTTATATCTATCATTATCGTTAGTATCATCTTTATCATCACTGTTATCATCATTATTGTTATTGTCACCTTTATTATTCTTGTAGCTGTTAGTATCATGATCACTATCATTATCATAACTAAAAATATAATATTGTCATCATTATCAATCTCGTCATTACCATCCTGAATCTAATAACTATTGCCATCACTATTAAGATTACTATGAGTATCACTGTAACTAATCCTGCCATTAGAGTTGTTGCCAGCATAATAACACGACGGTAATCCTCACAACTCTCCTGCTACCACTATAACTCTCACTATTCCTATCACTACAACAAGTAAAACAAGTAAAGATATTAATAACGCAGTCGAACAAATCATAACACCATCTCAGTGATCACCCGGCGGTACTTTCTGCCTCGACTGACATCGGGAAAGCGAGGAGAGGGATGTCAGCCGTTGGAAGTCGAGGCTGCCTGACGTTCTGCTCCCCGGCCGCTGTCAGTGGGTCGCTCG